TTCTTTTTATCTGTAGCAGTGATTTATCTCCGCCCACTCAATGGATTTTTTAAATTCGTTTAGGCTACATAAAATGCACTCATTTTTTTTCTGATTCCTCGTTTGCACGGACTGTGCATGCAACTGTTTAGGTGATTAATAGCTGTCTTGTAATTTCGTGCGCTTTTTTTTTACTTTAATGCCATTGTTTGGAGGTTTTTACCCTTCGCTCCACCATGCTTCATGGAAATAAACTATTATTATCAAAGGAGAAGGGGAAAATGAGAGGGCACGGAGGAGGAGGAGGGGCATACCCTCCTCTCCGTACCCCCCCTCCTCCTTCTCAAGAGCTGTGCTCTGATTCGGCAATACAGGGAATTGTAAACGTCTTTCATTTTCCAGCAGACAATTTCTAACCTTACGTAGAGCGCCTATGCATTTTTCCATTAGAACGGCCCTAGCAGCTGTTTGTTTGGAGCGGAGAGCTATGTTGTGACGTCAACACTTACGGGGTGAATTGGGCGAGCTGGAAAACGTAATACATGATTAAAAACAGCTCAAACGACGAAGACGAAGCGAAGAAACAAAGACGTCATAACGTAGTGTGCCCAACACTATGTAGTGCTACAATTTAGGTTCCCTTCTCCGTTAGTTGAAAAAGATTCATCTTGGCGGGGCTATTCATTCAGTTCTGGCTGGGCGTGGTAAAATACTTAGGCAACCTGGCGAACTAACTCCCAAATCCTGAGTTACTGATTTGTAACCATCAAAGAGGTTTCTCTTGTATATAAACTTAGGTTTTCTAAGTTAAAAACGAAGCTTCGGTTTGAAGCAATCTGTGTCGCTGTCCATTATTTTTACTGGTCTATAGACGCTATAGACGCTTTGTGTCTATAGCGTCTATAGGTGGTGGCTATAGAAGCTTTAAACACGCGCCAAATTGAACCGCCATTGCCAACCTTCTCCTGTCTGACCGAGATTCCGAGCCACTGAAGCGAGCATTGACGAGCCTCTACAAAGGTCTATGCAAGGGAGGACACAGTAGCACCTAAAGAGGCTATAACTTGTCCTACTGTGGCAATGATGAAGTAAAGCAAACGGAATAAGAGGAAACAAAAACTAAAAGTCGGTAATGGTGGAGCCCGTGCGTAACCACCTAAAAGCGTCTATATATTTTTTTCACTTTATATTTAAATAAAAATAAACAGAGTTACCCAGCTATTCAGTTGGCCGGCAACAGTCGAAGACCCGTTCAACGCACCGTAGCTTTAGCAAAACACGATGTAGCCACCCGGAGTATCAACTCTTCAGGACACTCCGATCGCTGCGTTCGATGGTGCAGAAGTATAACTCAACGTATCAGCTCTACTTACCGGGAGAGCTGACGTCTTCTCTGTATCGCTACCAGATGTTGTTTCTGGTCGTTTGAACTCGCTACAAAAACACATCCGGGAATCGTAATTTATGACCTCCTTTGACCCCACTTTTTTTTTATCCCGCATCCTGCATCCGTTCCAGCGGTGCTTGACATCACGTGACTTGGTTACGACAACTGTGACGATGGATCGTCCTTAAACGTTGCCAAGGGCGTACGGACACGTGGTCAAGGTCGCGTTGGCGACAAAGTACTTGTAAGGCCAGGGCCGGATTATCCAATGTCAAATGGGAACTCAAATGTCTCGGACACCCACGCGAAAGCAGTTGTTTCTCGACAGGCACCAAAAGATGGTTGTAACCTCGTCCCCCTAGAGCGACAAACACCGGTTTTTGTCCGGCGACACCACAAAGTTCCGTGTCGCCGATGCTGTCCTACTGCATCGACCAACACCCGCGACAATCACCGCGACATGCGACGACAAACTATGGACAACGGACGAATTCTTGTCTGTCGTTAGACTTGAAGCGCAGGAAGCAGTCCCACTGAGGAGCGTCTCTCGGAGGCAGACTTATCCTCCTCGCCCGCTTGTGCCTTGTGTTGCCTCCCTTCCCACCTAGGGAGCCTTCATGTGCGCGCACATGAAGGCACTCTATTCCCACCATTCGACCCTTCCTCCCGAAAGGAGAAGCCCTTGGCTTTTCGTTCCGGGAGGAAGCGTCCCAAGGAAGCGTCCCAAACTTCTTGAGAGCGAAGTTTCCTTGTCCCCGTGTTCTGCAAATCTGCGTCGTGTCCGCCAAGTGGGACGGCGGGCTCCGACAAACAGGCTGTCTGTCGGTGTCGTCTATCGCTCGTTGTCGTGTGTCGCTGTCGTTTGTTGCTGTCTGTCGCCCTAGTGCGACGCGGCTATTGCGGTGCTCAAAGTCTGCCCGCCGAGCACAGAAATCTACTTCATGTATGTCAGCGATGGACATACCCACAGAGTGACAGAATACACGCAGAACTTCACTCTGTATGTCAGAGGCCGTCGAGCTGTTTTCACGGCTTTGTTCTACCAGGCCATTCCGTTATAAAATGGTAAATCAACATTAAATTGAGTTGAGTTGAATGGATATAACTGTATGATACTATATGCTGAGCGCAAGTTCGTCTGCTTCTTGCTCAGGGATTGAGGGAACGTCAAAAAGCCAAGTTTCGATTGGCTCGGATTGGAAGGATAGTGGGTAGACCTCAATAGAGAGTTTTAGTAGATCGTTCCCATGACTCCGATAACGATACCCGATACTCCGCCACCACCTCCCTTGCGCATGCATAGTATCGTTATCGGGACTATCGGAGGTATCGGAACGATCTACTAAAACTCTCTAATGTTAGCTGCCTTGATGTCTACCTATTATCCTTCCAATCGAGCCAATCAGAGCTCGGCGTTCTGACGTCACCGCAACCCCGGCGCAGGAAGCAGACACACTTGCGCTCCGCATAGCTAGTCGCAGACAGTATAGAAATCGCAAGGCGTGCTGCCCTACTAGAGAGTTTTAGTAGATCGTTCCCATGACTCCGATAACGATATCCCGATACTCCGCCACCGCCTCCCTTGCGCATGCATAGTATCGTTATCGGGGCTATCGGAGGTATCGGAACGATCTACTAAAACTCTCCATTGTCTGGCCCGAGGTGGTGCACGCATAAGGTAAAATAACAACCAATATATTTGTTTCGTTCAAAAAAGAGCAAAAAAAAAATAGACCACCTGTTTCAATCTACGGCGCCATTTCTCCGGGCGACGCAGACGGTGCTCGTGCTGACCAAAGCATGGATCGTGGCCGGTAGGCGCAGGGCTGCGGAGGCCACGGGCGGGCTTAGTTCCCCCCAATAGACCGATCTCACCAAGCGTTCTGCGCATGCGTGACGCCGCCATAACTTTAGTTCACAGGAGTCGGGCTGCAGTGCACGAGGGGGCTTGTGCCGTCTGGTGCTCCTCACGCGCAGAGCTCCAGCGAGGTTGTCGCACGTGCAGAAAAACTAAAGTTCCCTAGATGCATTGCGGCAGCGCTGGCGTAGTCAAACTGGCTGGTGAGAACGGTCTACAGTTTGAAAAACCGGACACAAATGCACCACAAAAAGGATTGCTCTAAGTTTCAGATTGAAGGAAAATACATTTATACGTTAATGGCAGATACGAAGATCTTTCATATCCAAGGGCATTGGAGCGGAAGTGCTGCGGGAGTGGAGCCGAGGGAAACGAATAGGACCTAAAGAATCCACAAAAAAACATTTTCACAATGCCCGACCAAAAGGCTCAGAAGAAGGACTTTCGTTTGTATATATCTTAATTGTTTATTTCTGTTTTTGTGTGTGTTCATCGTGGTGATTTCGGCGCACAATATAATTTGGAACAATATTGGGCGCAAATCCCTTTTTGTCGTCAAGTGCTCCATTTTGCCCCACGGGACAAAACGGGCCATTAAATGTCAGTCATAAAAAACACATCTCTTGACGGCAAATAACCCGCTTAATGCCGTTCATCGGAGTTTCAACGTAGCGACACTAAATGCAGCTACGCTTCACCGGAACGATATTACAGCCATCTTGGTGCTTGAAATCACTGTGGCTCTGATCTGAAGTAAGCCTCGTTTGAAATCGCACGAGAAAACGGCTTTCCCACCTCCAGAAATGTGAAAAACAGTTCGCGACAGAGACAGAACGATATCGCTTGCGGCTTCTTGACGCCAACACTAAACTCCTGGCACTCGTATTTTTAAAGAGCAACGACCACCAACTGCACCCGCTCAGGACTCGTCACACAAAATGGCGTCGCCCACAAGAAACTCGGAGCATCGAGTGCCGATACTCTGAGTCTGAAAGCCGCGGCCTCACTCCTCGTGCATCACACGGAAGACCCGCGGAGTTCTCTGCAGAGACGATGACAGAGTTTTCCGCGGAGACGCCTGAAGCATATATAGCTCGACGTATTGTTCCTTCATTCGTAGGCATGTTCGAACATGTCTGAATGCAGTTATTGTATTAGAGGACCGCCATATATGGATGAAGCTCGCCTCGGACAGTGTCTTCAAACTGGCTTTTGTGTGATGCACCGTGACAGCGACTTGAGCGATATTTTGTTCTTAACATCGACTGTGCCCATTGTAGAAACGGTTAAGTTCGTCTTCTGTGGTGTCGAGAGTAGAAACTAGAGCCACTAAATATATGCAACGCTTTTGAACGATGATACGTTAGTCACCCTTGCGCTTAAAATCATTGTTGCCTGTAATTTAATACTTTAACTAAAATCACACACACACACACACAAAAGAACTCTTTTGAGTCCTCCAGAGATGTTAAAACAAGCTTCGACAGAGAAAATATTGGTTTTATTCCAAGTCCAGAAGCAGCCGTACGCGAGTTGGGGCCCTAATCGGGACACCTGGCGAAAACGTCGGCGAGAAATCTGGCCGCCGTGATTGGCCGACTCCGCACTTGACCTTGGTCAAGCTTGGAGGAGAGGAAACCACCTCTCAGGACAATCAGAGAGCTAGCCTGGGGTGTTTAACGCCATCGCTATTGTATTGCACTTGCGAAACTTCCCATCATCAGATGAGAGACTGACTTCTGGCTGGAAAAACAAAAATACAGCACAATTCCCCTCCTTTATATTCTCGTCACGGCTTTTTAAAGCTTTTCGGCTAGGACGACAAACGCGAAGTCCCATCTTTTCTGACTCTCAGATGAGACCGGGTTGTCAAGTGAGCTCCAGCGTTTGATCTCAAGCCCCGACCTGCTCAGTGCATCCTCCACCATGGCTTTAGAAAGGCAAACTTCGGGGAAGGTAACGTCGCCAACAGTGTAGTCTGTCGATCCGGCAATGCCGCACAGTATCAGGTGCCCTCTCTTGCGGATCAGGCTTGAGACGTTACGAGTGGCCCTTTGATAGCTGGTTTCGTCTTGACTTGCAGACTGGAGGCACAGGCTCGATAGGACGACATCGAAGGCTTCCCTGTGTCCTTCTGGAAGGACACTCGGGTTCAGCACGTCGCAGGAAATCACTTTCTTGACGGCCGCACGCGTCCTTTCTTCGATGTCCTCGACTCCTATTTTCGCGTCCCTGCGTCAAAGGGTTGGTGTTTTTAGCACGATGCCTGGAACGAGTTCTCGACTGGCGTGTTTACCTTCCTATACCACCCGTGCATCTAAAGCGCTTCTAAAGGAACAACCAATTGCGTCGCAGGGGCCTGTGTGTCATGCTATCGGATGTCTCCACAATGGCGGTTGGTTGTAAACAAAAAAAAAAATGTTGTCTAGAAAGCCGATCGGAAACAAGGATCGCTGTAAGCGCGGCGTCCCAACTACATTCTGCTTTTGATTTCTATCGACTCTCTGGAAATAGAGCAACCTGCAGAAAAAGGGGAATCTTCCGCAATCCCTCTGCTGCTGTAACACCGTCAGGATCGCGACGGGCGAGAGCATGACACTTTGTTTCATATCATCAGGCGGAGATCTAGGAACTACGTTTGTGGACCCGTTCAAAACACCAGTCAGAGACGCACGCCAGGCACTGTAGAGTTATGCCCGAGTTCCACTAGAGCGACAAACAGAACCAAACGAAGTCGACAAGCCTAAAAAATATGCAACGTGCTCGCGATGGAACCTTTGGCAGTCGTTTCGTTGTTCGGTGGTCGTGAAGTAAGCACTAGTCATTGCAAGCCTGCCAAAAATATATCCTCACGAGCCTGATGCTCATGTTTGAGCGTAGTACATAGCCTCCTTTATTCTACAAAGCCTGTCAAATTGCGAACGACTCGTGTTAGAGGCTTGTCGCTGTCGTTTGTTTCTGTTTATCGCTCGAGTGGGACTCGGGCATAACTAAAACTAATCCGTGACACGTTCGTAGTTTTTCAGTATATATACTGAACGGATAGAGCAGCGGCACTCCCACAGTCCTAGGAATGCCTGCGCGTGGAGAGAACATGCTGTCCAGCGCTCGGAACCCCAAAAAAAGTGCGCTGTCACACATTTTCAGGGCTCTACACGCCTCGCAACACAAGGGTTCTCCGAAGTGAGAGATTGCCATGATTGGGACGCGATCCACAGCCCAACGAAGGCGCGGTAGCCCCAAATAAACGATTATTGTCATGACTCGACACTCACCCACTGCTATGAAACACATTTTCTGGCGAGTTCTGACTATCTTATCATCACACCGATGAGATTGAGACATTGGCTGATAGCAACGCTGACGAACGAATTAGAAAGTAGATTTCGAACATTGTAAGCCATGCCTAGCGTTTCAAAAGCTTTCAGTCGCCCATACGTTTCTATGAAATTCGTATGGGGCTATATATTGTGGTCAATAAAGCGTGACCAGATAAGGATGTTTCTAACACATAATTTGACGTGAAGAAAGTACTCACTGTCAGGGACAATATTAAAGGTACTCGATTCCCCGCTTGCTCATTGTTTCGTTGTAAATCGCGTTTACGAGTCGAGGTTTTTTTTTTTTTAATTTTATACGCCTCGCCATTGACTGGACGTGCTCTCAGACGGCGCCGACTGGACCACCGCGTGCGCGCACCAGCTTGTGAAGAGGCTCCACGGTCACACGGGATGTCACTTTTAGCAGTGGAGAATGGCAAGAGAATGATCGTGCTTAGGAGCGATATGAGACTCCTTACCTTGCTCCACTAATTTAAAATTTAAATTTATTATACCGTTTAAAGGCTTAATCTTAGTGTTTGCTTTTTATTCGAAATTAAAATATTTCACTAAATGGTGCAAGCAGCCGCCCGGTTAAAGGGGTTCAGCCATATCCATCTATCGATCGTGCTTTGCTACAGAAAGCTATGTCCTCGCACGAAGGCAGACGATAATTTCATTTTCAGAGGTCGCTGAAAGCTTAGTACCAGGACGCCTTTGAAACACCAATCATCGGAATTTATTCCGTTCAGCCAAGGAGGAAAGCGAGCGCCGAGCAGTTACAGGCTGGAGGGATGACCGATCTCACTGGTAAAAATGAAATAAAGACGACGATAAGCGCGGGCGGGTAACTGGCGCGTGGAGCCCATTTTGCTACTTGATTAGAATAATGAAACAATTTTTATGTAAATTGATAAGGTACGCCCTAGTTCAAAAAAACTAGAGACAAAGGAATCTCCATGTCAAGGGTCAACTGTTTATGAACAAATTCGTGAAAACCCTTCTCACTTGTATCCTTCCAAGATGGCCAATGGTTCGCTCATGAAGGACAAGTCCATGGCATCCGGTGCCTTCTCAACCCACTTCTCTACTTCCTCTATGTTTCTTGGTACCAGGTCACTGAGGACAATGCTACGGATCTTTCTCGTCGCCGGAAAGATGTTGGCAACCGTGGGCCCACAGCCAACTTCCAGAAGCGTTCGCCAGGACTCGGACACCGCTGTACAAAGAAGACGGGTGCCATCATAATCAAAGCCGCTGATTATTTTAGAGGGACCGTGCAACGGTATTTACTCGGAATGTTTCTCATTTTACGCAAGCTTAGTGGCACTATATAGGGGGACCCAAGTATACTCGAACGCAACCTCACTGGCCAAGAATCTTATTTGTCGCTACTTAATTTTAAGTATAAAACAGGACTTTTTTTTTATCTTACGCTTGCGAAAACTGGATGACGAAGCGGTTGGGATGGCATCCTTAGCGCTGTTAACAATGCGATCCCCATGATTTTCTTATCAAACTTTGCGATTGCCGCGGTGACGATATTTGAACGCGGCCGATGCAGTGAACTGCGTGAGATTTCGATTTGGGCTCGTAATAATCAATGCCTTGACATGCATTCAGGACTCGTGCCCGCTGACTGTGTGAAAGAATCGGCAAACTCAGCCCGCGCCCAGTGCTTTGCCAACCACAGCGCGTGACTATGATAAACATAAATTTATAAATTGAAATAATGAATTGTAAAATAAAATGATAAAGTTAAAATTATAAAGAATAATTAAACTGTAAAATGTAAATTAATAAAGTAATATATAGTAGAGTAAACAATATTGCATATGATACACAAGTTCAACATTTAGACCTGATCAACAAACTCGAAGCATTTAGTATAATGCCTTTGAGTGCTTTATTTAAATATATAGCCATAACAACAAATTACTTCTCCAGAACAGAATACAAACATCCGGTACAGAAACGGCCTCTCAGAAATATAGACAGATATCCTTTGCCAAGGATACATACGCATTACGGAAAAAGAATGAGAAGTTTTAATGTTCCTTATATTATCAGTGAGATACCAGAACTCATTAGTCTAGCACTCTTTTAAAGAAGTTAAAAAACAAATTCATAACAGTGTTTGCAAAATAAAATGTAAACATTTTTATATACTTTGATGTTCTCTTTCATAAATCACTTCACCTTATATGTGTCGCCTAAATCTGTTGTATTGCGAGGCAGAATTGTTTTGCTCTAAACGCTTACGGTTAAAAGTTGTCGTTTTATTGTTTGGTTGTGATAAAAAGAGAACGTTCCTGTTTTTTTCGGCGGGCGTGATTTTTTGTATATCAACTGTTTGGTTCTGATAATAAAAGAAACAAAGTATCCTTTTTTTGTTGCTTTAATATGTATATTTCCAAAATGAGTCAACCTGTCATTGGTAATCATGTCGTATTACACCTGAGACTGCGGTGGAAGAAATCGGAAGAACTTTCAGTAGAAGGAACAGACACAGAGAACGTCTCAAAGACGTTCTCTGTGTCTGTTCCTTCTACTGAAAGTTCTTCCGATTTCTTCCACCGCAGTCTCAGGTGTAATACGACATGATTAGCTACTACCAGCTCGCCTGCACTCTCACCGTCTTTTCACTGTCATTGGTGTATTGTTATTTTGTTTCTTTTTCAACGGAAATGGCAGCGTTGTTTAGATTACTATTCGCGGCTGCGGGGCCACGTCGTACAAGCCTGTAGGCTTAAGCTTTGACGGACCCGATTTTCTGTATTGCTAAAAAGTATAAAAATTATTAATATTATTATTAGTAGTAGTATTTTTATTATTGGCGGCATATAGTATCATATAATATGATCGGCTGCAGATCACGCGGCCGCTTGTTCGGGCTGTTAGTTCAGGTGGTGAAGTTGAACGCTTCACGTTTCTACCGACTTTTGTTCTGCAACTTTTATTTCGCAGAAAAAAAAACAAAAAAACTGACGTGTGTTTAATTGGTGATGAATGTCGAAGTATAATCTTAGGTGGTATTTACCGAGAGTGCAAAAACAGTTGTCCTTCAAGTTCTCGAAGGTTTATTAAAAGGGGCGAACGTGACGCAAAATAAAAAGATGACTACCTTTCTTGCTACGCGAAACAATGCGCGAGGCTGGGCTGATATTTTACGATCGCTCCGCATGCAGCGCGCGAAAATTGGAGAATGGAACGTTTGAAAGCGAAATCAATAAACCGAGGCTCACCGAGTGTTTGGCGTAGGCGTGACGCCGCCATAACTTTAGTTCAATGGGAGGCCGGCGGCATGTTCTCGAGACGCCTCGTGCCGTGTCATGCTCGGCACGCGCAGTGCTTTAGCGAGGTTGTCCCACGTGCTAAAAGGCTAAAGTTCCCACGATGCATTGCGGCAGCGGTGGCGTAGCGAAACTGGCTGGTGATATCGGTCTATTGTCATGTCGTACCGTTAGGACATTACCGAGAGCGTGCCAACACCCTCTCTGTTCCAACTCGTATATGACGGCAAGGGTTCAAGAGCCTGACCTCTCCCTCGTGTTTTTCAGTGCCTTCCCTTGCCTCGTAGCCTCACTGTAGCTTTTTCATCATAGCGTGACTTTATACTTCATTTGCACATCTAGGCTTACAGAAAAGAAGTTTAGGTAACAGCGTTGCAACATGCGGGCTAAAAGTCAAACATGAACCATCTGTTCTAATGTGTCTCCCTGGAGCTCCTTGACATGTTTTTGAACTTCTTGTTTTCTATGACGAAGCACTAATTTTGACGTTTTTCTGCCTTGCTCGACAAAAAAGTTGCCGATTCGCGTTGGGCGTCGTGCGTTTAGCCCGAACGAGGAATATCCGTCTTTTTGGCCGCAACTGCGGAGGTGTCATAGAGACTATTAATAGTCTATTGCAGGCTGCAAATAGCGAGCAAGCTCCTCCTGCCAAGCCCTAAACTTTCTCCAGATTAATGGAGCGAAGGCTGAAGAGGAGGCGAACGGAGAGGAGGAAACCACCAATTACGGCAAGGAGAGAACTTTGTGGGCGGGCTTGTCCTGCTAGTCCGAGCGTGCAACGGACCCTAACCTGATGAAATATGTATACTCGTCCGGAATATTAACTTTGCACTAACATTGTTCTCGTCCTAGTGAAATGTGAAGAATTGTCAATGTTGCGTTCGAGCTAAGTGGGCCTAGAGCACTATATAGCTCCTTCGGAGCAGAGTAGCGCAATCTAGAACGCCGTCTCTCGGCGACTAGCGGCGAACGCCCGGAGGTTCCAACTGCGGTCAGAAATGCATGGAGAATTTGAGAAAATCGTTGTTTCTTCAGTATTGTGGGGATGTACGGAATGGCAATCGTTTTTGACATAATAATGGAACATTTTAGAATAATTTGCGCTAAGTTTTGTTTCACGCAAGGACGAAACTTTTTTTTTAAAAATCGCCTGAGCAGCATCATGCAGCAGACGACACGGCGACGGCACACCATTCACGTGACCCACTCCGGCCAACCCGAAAAGCCCATCTCCGCAGCGAGCAAAAATCGTCTGCTTCAAACGCCATTGCCTTGGAGATTGCTTTCTCAAAACTTTCACACGCATCCGATATTATTAAAACTTTGATAAAGTGTTAAGTGCTTTACTAACTTCACGACAGACTAGTTTTGAAAAGCGTGAACTCGCCGTTCATTTTTTAATCAGCCGTGTTGTGTCGATCTCCATGTATTCTCCCATAGGGCGGGCCGCCTCCTGGAACCCTGAGTACCACGTGACTCGCGCCGAGCCGCTCTGTCGGCCATGTTGTCGGCAAAACACGGGGTTCAAAGGATTGCGCTACTCTGCTCCGCAGGAGCTATATAGTGCTCTAAGTGGGCCGTGCCTTGAAAGTTTGCTGTGCATGAAACAAATGCCACATACAATTACATAAACGTTTTAAACTTGTACTGCTCCGATAAACCTATCATTGGAGCCAACCGATTTCTGATAGGGGAGTAAACTCGACATCTGCGTACTTACGAGAAGCAAAGATAGAATGAAGCTCCCTCTGGTAGAATGAGCGGACACCAGTGCGACCTCCTAGCTTCTTCACGGAAACTCGAGGCAGGAAGTCTCGGACGTACCGTTCTCTGATTTCCTCGTTGCTCATGGTGCCTCTGGTCCCGTCGAAATAACGTTTAGCGGTCAATTCCTGTTTCAACCTGAAACGCAAACGGATCAATAGAACAGTTGCAACAACAACAAAAAAGAGCAAAAAGAAAGAAAAAAATATCGGCGAACGTTTTGAAACAGTTTTTGCTTCTAGACGCGCAGTTCCTTTGTATTGTGGAAAGTGAAACCGAGCAGCGCCACCGCAGCAGTGTGTTGATGTCTACACGAACCAACGAGGTAGAGGGGCTTAGAGCGATAAACCGGGGTTCCGGTCTGCACTCGAAAGTGACCCCCATAAGGCGGCTGTCATTGTACGCAAAGTTGACCACTCGTCACATGACCAAACCAAATACGTGACGTCACAGGAAAGATGGCAGCTACCATGCAGTGCCTGGCCCCAGCTGGGCCGGAGCTTGTTGGATGCTTTGTTGGTTGTCGTTCGTCTCGGCGAGTTGATTTCAGACGCGGAAGCCCTTATATGAGGCCGGCTGAAAACGACTCCAGAGTTCAGCGTGGCGTATGACGTAGGTATAACGTAAAAATACGAAGGAACGGTGTGCATTTCGCTGGTGACCGGCGGGGATATTGCCAGGAAAGAGACAATCGGCCCTACGTTGCTCGGACCTCTGATTGATTCGGATACCATTAGGATGAATTTCAAGGCGACGTTCCTGTGCTCTCGTTGACCATCGGAATCTTCGAGGTCTGCCGTGAAGCGTGTGCCATGTATCTGGATGCACAGTTTAGCTACGGAAATTACGTGAGTCGTGCTTGGCAGTGTGCAATCGTGGTGCCGTTTCGTTCAAATAACCGAAGGCTCACTTTGGTTGTGCGGTGAACCGGAGAGCTGCCTTGAAGCTGGTAGTCCCCGTGCCGTGCCAAATGATGCTGTGCTGCTTCCCAAATTGTTCCGGTGTAGACGTGCACTTTCACTTTCACGGAGCACAGGTGTTGCAGTTGGTATTGATTCCGCTGGTCTGTCGCACGTTTCGTCGATACAAAAGTTTCATCAACACTCGTTACGCGAATTGCAAGCTGTATGGACATTTCATCGCGCGTGTAACCGAGCCAGTCCACCCGTTCACGCCGCTTTGCGACAACAGTCTGCAGCGGCTCATTACCAGAAAAGTGATCCCACATCCATTTCAGTTCAGCTCGTCCACAGCAGTCGCCAAACCCCGAAGGAGACGATTCATTCGGACAGAATGCCAGTATAAAGCAGTGCAGCTTCTTTAGTAATCAGGATAGACTCTCTTCTGTCTGTTTTGTTATATTGTCACGGATGCTTGCTCCAGTCCTATTTTCTATCAATATTTACTATTCTGAAAAGTTGCAGGTCATGCTCACCTGTCATTGTATGTCCTGGTGGAGGTGCTGCGCACCTTACTTATAGCCCTTCACTTTGTGTGGACCCTGGTGGCTCCTCAGCCGAGTTGCCCGATAACAAGACACGGGTGGCAGGTTATCCCGCGTCTTAAACCCCCGGCGAGCCGGGAACCAAGTCCTATCCCGAGCCCGGCAGAAAAACCGCAAGACGAGTGAGTACCACAAGGGCGGACCTCGGAAACAGACAACGAAGAACCTGAAATCCGAGCCAGTCGCTGCTATACCAGCAATAACCATTGGAATTTGGTCTTTTGCCAGAAAAACCAAAGCTGACTAAGCCAACAATGACAAACCTGAGCAGACTGCGTCCGCTCCCGCCATCGTTTGCATGCCCGTCGCACCTCGCACTCCGGTGCCCTTTCACGCAAGGTGTATGAAGACGCCGAGGGCTGGATTGAAATATACGACCGTGTCGCTCGCCACAGTGGGTAGACAGACAACCAGCTCCTGCAGAACCTATACTTCTCATGGAAGAAACTGCCAGGCACTGGTTTGAGAACCACGCATCCTGCTTAACGTCGTGAAAAGTTTGCAAGATCGAGCTGAAGTGCACGTTCATCAACCAGCATTGATGAGAGAGTACCGAATTCCTTATTCTGTCCAGGACACGGCCCCAACGAGAGCATTGCCGCCTTCGTGGAGGATGTTTTGCGCCTGATCGAGCACCCATGCCAACCCTGATGCTGCAGAAGACTAAAAGCTAAGAATCCCATGTCCCTCATGTGAGGGACAACACCTTCGGCACCCTTATCCGCAACTACAGGACAAGTTACAACAGTCGAAGGGTTCATAATACCGAGGCTTCCAACATTGAATGCACACTGCAGGCCCAAGCCTGCCAATATCAACAGCTCCCCATCCTCTCGATACTCGAGTCGTCCAGCTGCAACTTCGACGCCAGCCTCCCAGGCTTCCGCGACATCATCCACAACGTTGTCGGGGAGGAGATCAGGAAGCTACTTCCTGCCATCAGTTGCCCGGCTTTTATTTTGACTGCCGAGATTGTTTCGGAACAAGTTCGACAGGCATTTCAACGGGATACTTCTTCGAGCGAAGCGGCATCTGACGAACCGAGGGCGACTTATGCCACAAAGTCACTAAGACCGCCACCAGCCACCCGTTACTATTCAATGCCAATTCAACGAGACAACCCACCGCCGAAGCATTCATACATGCCCGAGCTTGCTGCATTGATGCAGAAAACTACCAGGAAAATTTGCGGATTAGAAGCCAGCCCTGCAGCTTCAGTGCGTCAGATATCAGTGGCCGCGCATGACGTATACGGTATGATTACAAGACGGCATCAATCGGTCAACGTTGTCACTCGACCAAACTGAACACCGATGTGCCAGGAGCGTCATCCGAGAACAAAGACCACAGGTACTACGACTGAACACCTGACACAAGACTGTCTCAGAAAGAACTCGTTATGAAACCATTTGCAAAGAACCAATAATTATGCAATTAAGTGGAAATAAACATATTTAATACACTAACCAAACAAACATATTTCCGCTCGTTTTTGCGCCTTCAAAGTCTATACACTAAGAATTGTGTTCACCGCGCGTGCTGGACCTTTTGAGGACACTCGCATCTCTGACCCCTCAATATTAATTAATGAGAGATACCAGACTGGCAGACTGGTTGCATTGGGCTGCACTCGTTCCAATTCTCCCGAACATGTGGCACATCCGAAAGCCAACTCCAGTGATGTGAAAATGTTATTTATTAATTTATTCCCTCCAGGGGCCTTTGTAGGCATTCCAAAGAGGATACTTAAAACTACACACATGATAATAACATTAAAGCACACTGCTGTAACTTGTTAATTGCAAAAACAAACACACCTCTGAGCATCTAGTTTAACAGTATGTGTTGATGCATTCTTTTATATCAGGAAACTTCCTATACATATGACACAATAGACCATTTGAAAACCCCATCAAGCCACACGACTGTCGCCATTTTTTTTCGGCGTAAAGCACACGAACGGGCCCCAGTTCACGTCGAACGCTAATGCAGAATTTGAGTCCAATAGGCGTTTAGCCGAGTTCACAGTGATGGCGGACATAACGCTCTTGTTGAACAAATTCCCAAAGTATGAAGGCCTTGGGCAATTAGAGTAGCAGCTGCTGTAATTCGTTCCATCACAATTTGGCAAACAGCAAAGGCTACAGTCTCGGTGAGTCAATATTCACGTTGGAGAGAGGCACATGACAACATATAAGAGTGCTCGTCAGCACAGATTTTTCACACACCTTCACTCCGTCTCTCTGATTGGCACGAGGGGGCTGTGGCCGTTGCCATTTTACAAGTTACGGTAATACGTAGCATAGGCAGCCCCATACTTTGAAAAAAAGTCTATTGAAAAGACCGAAAGGTCTTTTCAATAGACTTTTTTAAAATTTCAAAATCAATAGACTTTTTCAAAATAGTCAAAATTTTTCAGCAAGACTGCTCTTCGGACAAGGGATAAACACAAATATGAGTAATCTTGTCCAGGTAATTAAAACAAGTAAATAATTGATCGACTGATACAATGTACTCTTGATGAAAAAAAAAAAGCATTGCTGCAATAAATCCTACGAAAGAGAAAAATGTGCAGTTAAGCTATGCGTACACCAAAACGGTTGTTCTTATAGCAAGACGAATAGCTTTGAAGTAGGTGCCTGCAACGATTTAGTCATCCCCACACTCAATAAAACGCCATCCTCGCAGCTGAAAATAAGTGTGCACTTCGCACTCACAAAAAAAGGAAGAAAAGCGATCGAATGTAGAATCGTCGATTAGCACAAAAGGTTAAAGATTGCAGGAGCTTCCTCGCCAAAGGTTTCTATGGTTATTCGGTGACGCAGGGCTGAAGGCACTTCGCCCTGCGCAGGGCACTTCGCCTAGGCCCTAACGCGACGTGTACCTTTCGCTTCGATCCTCAGACGTTCAAACGAAGCTAGAAAAATGCGAATATTTTATGCTAGGAGTTATATCGTAAAATTGTTGACAAATACAAAACGTAAAGATCGCAGGAGCTTCCTCGCTAAAGTTGGCTGTGATTATGCAGTTACCTAGGGCCGAAACGAACTCCCCTAGGCCCTACGTCCGACGCATACACCTCGCGTGGATTCTAAGGCATTCCAACGTTTAAACAAAGCTAAGAGAATGCGAAGATTTTATGCCAAAAGCACTCAAAGTTCTATCGATCCTCGAACACGTCCGGGAATCCGAGCACCGGTACGGCGATACGGCTGATGCTGTCTCACAAGCGTTAGTATCAGGGACGGCGCCAAAGGGAGGCGAGGGGTGGCGGGCGCCTCCCCTAAAATTTGTCCTGCCACCCCAAAAATATGCCAGCCTTTACACCCTCCCCCCCCCCCCCCCCCCCCTCACCTTAATTTTCGCGCGCAGACCCGCATACGCTACATGGCTCGTCATTTTCCTTATTTCCTCGTCCCATGGAAATAGCATTGGCTTGAAGGATAGCCAGCCTAAAGGGGCCTCACACCGGACGTTTTCAACTTTTTCGTGCCGTCCACTTTATTTTCTTTCCGTACCCCGTGAAGAACGATGCATGAATATCGGTATGGCCTGCCGAAGCTAAGAAGCGTCGTCGACCAC